CAGCACCAACGGAGGGGGGGGGGGGGGCAGGGGGCAGGCGTAAGCAGCGCAATATAGTTTATTGCCCTGTGTAAAGCATTGATGGAATGTATAATGTACTTAATAAGGTAATTTTGTCATGGATCGGCGAGTGTCATGTGACAATTTTGTTCCCAGATCCAATATTAAACCCCATTAATGCGCCTAAATTTGGTAGAACGATGTCAAGAAACAACAATAATCTTTTCCAAATCCAATCTATCAACTCTGGGAGACGGCACTAATATGTCTATAATATCCTCGTATCCTGTGGGTCGTAATATGAACAAAAAAAAAGATACAGAACTAATACCAAAGGGAAAATGGGCAGACCCTCCCAGCAATCATAGTGAATCCACAAACTGAACGATTTTTCGACTTTAGCACTAATAAGGGTTTTATAAAATCCCATCCAGCGAGTCCTAAGTGGGTTTCTTTTAGGGAACACACAAAAGCTTTCCATAATTTTTCATTCCTAAATAGCTTGGTCCCAATACTTGAACTATGATACTACTATATTAGCATGCAAATGAAAAGCAATAGCTAATGAAAACTACAAGAGCCAAAGCCATCAGAGCATCCAGTATTTTTACTAAAATTAACCATTAATCACATGAATGCAGCTGCGACTGTGAAGCCAGGTATATTCTTCAATGACCATTAGCGAACCTCAATAAACCAACTGGCTACTGCGGTACCACCAATAGCAATCCAGTCCCACGATTGCTCGGTTTATATGACATTTCGTAAAATCAAGGCAGAGAAGTCTCAAGACATAGAGATACAGAATAATTCTACACAAAAAATTAACTGGACCACTCTACACAAAAAATTAATTGGACCAAACTAGACGGAATTTCAATATATATTTGGTCACAAGGTGAATTGCCAAACCTCGAGGTGCTGAGCAGCCTCACTGGTGAGCCCTACAGTAACTGCCGCGAGCCCAATCAATCCGCCCTGCTAACAACAAAACACCAAAGAACTTAACAAATCTGATCGCCCAGCGGCAGCAGAAACAAGAGTCACAGCGATCCTAGCAAACCTTCCGGTGGTTCGCCTGGGGGGAGTATGTGAAATCGTTTGTGAGCAGCCCGATCACGGCCGCAATCTTGTCGTGCTCCCCCGCCGTGGACAGCTGCTTCACGATCCCCTCAATCTACACCAACACACCCGGCCACAACAAGAAATTCCGCCTCAAATCCCGCGCGCGATTGCTCGAACGAGGCCCCGCCCCGGGTCCCCAAAAGCAATCGAAATCCCTCACCTCGAGCGCGGCGTTCTTCCGCTTCTCGTAGAGCTTGTCGGCGAGGTTGCGCAGCACGGCGCCCGGGATGATGGAGAGCGCGTCGGCGGCCATCGCAGGAGAAACCGCGGCAACAGCAGCAGATCCCCTCCGCTAGAGCGTCTCGATCGCCGGCGATCGCCGCATCGGCCCGCGGCGCCTCGCAGCCAGACGGCCCCCGACGACCGCGGCGTAACCCTAACCCCGGGGAGGCGGAGCGCGCGGGGACGCGAGGACCTGGAGCCCTAGAGCCCAGCCCGAGCTCCCGAGCTCGCAACGCGCGGCAGCAGAGACGCGGGCCTGGGAATGGATTTGGGGGCGGAGACGGTGGTGGTGTGATCTGGAGGGGAGGGGGAGGGGATCGGGGCGCTCTCTTCTTCTCCTTCGCTTCCCAGGGGTAACGTTTACCGTTGTGGCGGCCATTAACGGCGCCTGTTTCCCGTGGGTGCGGGTCCAGCGTGGAGCCGACCCTGCCAGGTGGGGACGGGCGTCGGGGCGGTGCAGGGGGCTCGGTCCAGGCCGCGCGCGAGGCCGTGGACTGGCTGTCTTCGTGCGGGCAATTGGATTGGGTGCTGGGGGCTGGGTGGTCTCGGTCCAGGAAGGCCGTGTGCGGTGGCAGGTGACGGGGCAGGGAGAGGCCGCGCGTGGACTGGGTGTATGTGAGGCGAGGGAGGGTCCCCGGTCGTGTCAGCCTGTCTCTTTCCACGAAAAAGGGGACGCTGCTCATGTTATCGTCCGTCTTTCTGGTCCAACAGGTCCGTTCGTGATAGCGTTGGGAGATCATGCGGCGTGTGAATTGATTTTCTTCCCGGTTATGAACATCTTCGGTTGCCCGAGAGGATCGCGGCTGAGAAAAACGCAATCCTCCCGGTTAATAAAGAGGTAGTGCAGCTTTTTTAGCCATCAATCAAAATCATGCCATTTTGTAACGTCTATCTCTTGCCTTTTGTTTTCACATGTGTTATCTTGCAAATCGTCATATTTGTGTCACGGACCCACGGTGCCAGCGGTGCGGTTGCGGCCTGCCGAGACATCCTATCAAAAACGTCAATTGCACGTGCCGTATGAAACTACACCAAAATTATTTTATCGGTTTGATAATGTATAAATCATGGTACTGCTTATGGAGTCGTGTTTTCTTGGTGTTACTTAAGGTTTTGTTTGTTGATGGTTGTGAGGGGCTGAGGACTTTGTCCTAAGCTGCAGGTCCGGACATGCCGTCCCCAATCTCGTGCACCCTGATGTCTTTTCTCGTCACTCTTCTTTCCTTTTCAGCTCAGTCTTAACATTTCGCCGTGCTTTGTTGGCACTCCGGATTAATAAAGAGATAGCTTTTTAGCCATCACGCAATATTGTAACATATATCTCTTACTTTCATCTTTCACATGTTATCTTGCAAATCAACATGGTGGTGCCAAGACGCCAAGGTAGCCGCTTGCCATGGTGCACGTGTAATTTGATGCCAAAAGTACCATACCAGCATTTGGCATCGTCGACTATGTCACTGCTTGGAGCTCACGGTTTTCCATGTTTCTTATGTTCTAGTTGTTGGCGGTTTGGTAGGGGTTTGCCCTATGCCACGATCGAGATGTACCGTCACTAGTTGCAGACATAATAGATACCTTAGTGTTCTTCCTCGTCATCCTTTTCACCTCAGTATCAAGCAGTTAGCCATCTTTTTTTGGCACTTCATGATACTGCTCATTATTATGATATTTAATATGTTTACTTAGTATTGCCTCGAATTCAAAGATAAGTTAATAATCCCTAATTTGTTATGTCATGGCCCGACAAGTTTATGGTAAGATAGATATTGCCTACATTTTTTTCTTTTTCCTGCACGGTTGCATAAGGCTAATTTTCCTTGGTCCATCCATCTTTACATCGGTGGAGTGTGATCCATAAGAAAAAGGGACTTTTATTTCTGTGCCCCTGGTTCATTAGTTGTACTCATTCATCCTCACTCTGTTAACTTTTGCATACTTTTCCCCACTTCCTTGCTCGAAACCCTCAAAACGGGTTACAATGGACGTTGCCCTCGGGTCAATGTCTTTGACCGTTAACTCTGACGAGTGGGGCCGCATAGGACTGAGTCCACCTTTGACCGTTTACCCGCATAGTGGTTTCGTATGCTGACCGTACAGTGGTATTCGTATACGTGGGCGCATGCAACTGACCGCGGTCGTGAGGTAGCACGTGTCCATGGAACATACCCGAAACGTCCCATCGTATAAAGAGGGGGAACCACCTCGCGGTGCATCATCCCTACCATTTTCCCCCAGGGTTTTCCCCCAAATCCACTCCCTGCCGCATCGTCTTTCTCCCCCCACCGGCGTCGTCTCGCTCTCCCCCACGGCATCCTCTTCCTCACCTTCATCGCCTCCATCTATCCAAGGTTGAAGCTCGTGGCGACACCGGCACAGCGGCCAGAGATGTAGTGGAGCTGCAGGGCGCAGTGGCCGCGGATGTTGTCAACATCCACGGCATTGCGGGGAAACTCGCAACCGCTGCGGATGTGGAGAAGGAGGTGGCGGGCTCCGCCTCAGCGCTGCCGGAGCAGAAGGTGACGGTGTCGAGCGGCGCAGTCCATCCTGATACCCCCGATGCGCAGCCTGGCGAGGAGTAGGAGGTATTTGCACTTGCTTGTTAGTTGTAATATTTAGGATATTAGTTTGTAGAGTTAGTTGCATTGGTTAGATTGTGATGCATACGGTAGTACAGATGGTTAGGGTAGTTGGTTTGACGGATGGGTCGGGGTTTTCTGTTTTGGGGGGATGGGGGTTTTTGTACTAGGGTTCGTTGGATTACATTCGTTGCAAAAATGCTAGATAGATCTGTATGAGAGATAGGGATATATGTGCTTCAATGCTACACAGATGTATGCTTATTAGATTTGTTTTAATGCTCACAGATTGGGGTTTTTAATGCTACAGACATGTATGCTTATTAGATTGGGTCCCTATTAGATTTGCTTTTGAATGCTACTCAGATTGGGGTTTTGAATGTCATATGCCCAAATGGAATCCATTGATTAAGAAGTTATTTGATTCATTAGTATATATTTTTGTCCACAACATGTGGTTATATTAGCTCTGTTGTTCAATGTGTGTGCATGACAATGGAAAATGCAAATAGGATCATAGTATATTGAGAATATATTAGCCCTATGATCAATGTGTCATGTGTGCATATCTAAATTTTCAATTGGCTTCTGTATTTACTAGTGATGGATGTAATTGTATATTCAGGAGGAGGATGGTTGGGGGAGAGGAAGCTGGCCCAGTACAACCCGTACGATCCAGAGTTTAGTGACGACGAAGAATATGAGGTATGCCTACTTGAAATTTAGATTGTTCATTTAGTTTCTTTGACATGGTGTATATGAATCTATAATGTATTAATATAATTCATTCATGTGTGCAGTATGATTCTGAAGAAGATGTGTACAAAGGCAACGTCGCGTCCTTCACAGCGAAGGAGGTGGAGAAGATCAAGGCCAAGGGAGTTGCTTCCTTCTACAACCGCAAGATCAAGAAGTGGCACTGCCCCTACTGCACCACCGAGCCAAAGCCAAAGGATGGCCGCTTTTGATCACCTTGTGTCTCATGCAGAGGATGTAGCGATTCACGGGGAGGACTACATGATCCGGGGGCAGCATGCTGCCCTCGCGAAGGCCCTGACTCCGGTGTGATGTGACGATGTGATGAACCGAATGTGGTAGCATGTTTTATCTTTATCAGTTGGGTTACTTTTGGTAAACTGAATGTGGCTGTTTATGGTGTGATGAGCTGAATCTATGGTGATGGTAGTAATATATTATGTTATCTATATTTGTTTGTTCTTCAATTTGCCTGTGGTGTATGGTTAGTTATGTTTAGATGTTGTGAAAGATGAGTTTAGGTGTTGCAATGATCACACATGTTGTTTCAGTGTTGCTTCACTGATCAGACATACTGCTTTTTCACTATTTATTAATCAAATCAAATGCATGCCTTTTCCCACCAGCATGTTTTATTATCCAATATTTTGAACTGGCATTTGATAGGACAGTATAAATTCAAAAAAATGCAAAAAAATTGGCAAACTATCTATATTTGTGTAGGAGATCATGTGTGCAAAATTTGAGATGATTTAGAGGAGGTCAAAGAAATTTGAATTTTAGAAATGTGCTCCAAATGAGCTCCCGGGCTAGGGTAAACAGCTCATTTGTAATCAAGTTTTTTTGGACCTACTCTAAATGAGCCAAATGTTTTTTATTAACACATATTCAATCTATATAGTGTAGATTCGAAGTCTCACTATTTTTTGAATTAATCTTCATGTTTTTACATTTTCTTTTGGAAAAATATGCTTTAATATAAAACTATCAAAAACATGTTTAAAATATGAAAATGGAAAACTAAGTTCAGATCCTTCTTATTCATTTTGAAATAAAGCTTTGGTGATTTTTTTGATTTTTTGATTTTTTTCAAAAACAGAAGGTAACCCTACCTTCTCTCCTTGAACTCTATCAAATCTTGTACGTGATAGCTCATATGTGTGAAAGTTTTTTCATGAAAATGACCATAGACCAAGTTTATGATTTTTGGTTGGTAACATGTCACATAAGACAACATTGTGCGCAGGTTTTATATTTTATTGATTTATTTAAAAAAAATGATGCTCATTTTACCTCAATCGTGCCAGCTAGGGTTTTTTCATGAAAATGACCATAGAGCAAGTTTAGTATTTTTCCTCGCTAGTGTGTCTTATAAAACGACGAACGGTGAAGGTTTCATATTTTTTTGATTTTTTAAATTAGTTATGCTCAGTCAAAGCCTTGGAAACCCCGTTGACCCGCTCAAAACCCCTCTAAACCCCGCGGGGTTTCGCCTAACTCTAGCTCCCAACGTCAGCCGTCCGATCATACCCTGGCGCCAAGCGATAGCCCTCATATGTGGTCTTCTATAAGGAATTCGGTGGGCAAGCTGCATGCAGGCTCCGCACCGTTGGATCACAAGGACGGCTCCGCGTCGTTGGATCGTGGGGCGATCCGCGAGAGGCATTCCTGTTAGTTGTGCTCGGCTGCTTGCCCA